ATGAGCTTACCTTTATTTTCCTGTGGCCATGGTCAATGCACACGGAAGTTGTCTTTCTAAAGGAGGAATGTTTTCGTGGAGGACTTTTCTAATAAAAACTGGTTTTTGTTCATGTTGTGTATATAGCTAGTGCGTTCCGCGGGATTTGAATTCGGGAACTACTATTACTCGTATTCAGTGGTTTTACTGCTTGGCCACTAGCAAGTAGTGAAGTCTTGAGCTTTAAAGGAATTTGTTGAAAATTCTTTGTGTCAAGCTGAGGGGACACCCGGGGTATATAGTAAGAAACCATGCAGGTTTGGTGCAATACGTACCGTAAAATGCGTACAAAAATACCGTAGAAAGAGAAGACTGATATTATTCTTTTTACAAGAGAGTTAACATTTCTGTAAGCTTGTAATGGTATCGTGAAATGATTTAAATTAAAATTTAATGATTGTCGCTTAATGTTGGGAGGAATGATCAGTGGACAGAATAAAATAAAGAAACCAATTTTTTCAAATTGGTTTCTTTATTTTATTGAGAAATTGGATTTAATTTTTATATACTTCAGTGTGTATTAAACTCACTATTGCAAAAGGCCGTAGTATGTAGCGCTAGAGTGTATACGTGTATTATTGCTGTTCTTTGTTCAGCTTTACTTATTACGGATTAATTTAATATATCTGGGCCCGTCAATAACTCAGTAAAACTCATAATTAAATAAATAATCACTTTACACAAAACTCAAAAAATGGACTGTATACTCAAATTTATTAATTACTCAAAAAAGCCGCATAGTTAGTTCACATCTCTCGGCGGCGTTTCAGAACACACTCAAAAAACTCAATACAAGTAGCCGCAAGATGGCGCTATAAAAACATCAGCGTCATCTTTTCAGAACACTAATATTACTTTTTTTTCACAGACGGCGCCTCTGTCGTCAACAATATCTAAAGTGGTTAATGACGCTGACTGCCGTACCGATGGGCCCGTTTTCGAATCCCGTAGAAGACTTGGATGTTTGTAAGCGTATAGCGTCTATGCGGCAAGGGGGATCCTCAAAATACACAGCGAGCCGAAAGTACTACCAAGAGGTTCTCGGACTGCCTCCCGCTAGGGTCGGTGGTCTTGTTGGTAGTATCTCTGAAGTGTTCTTCCTTAAAAATTGGAGCGAAACTATACAGTTAGTGCGACGGGACTATACCTGTACGACATATGGTGAATGTTTGCCGACTTGGCCACTTCTATCTGTACCTGTATATTGAGGGCTACACAAGTGATCGTGTAGTTAAGACCGTTGAATGCTGGTGAATCGAACCCAGGGCAATCAGGCTGGTTGCTTTTCTTTTATCCGTGTGTACATGAATACGAGCCAGTTTCGCTTAGAAAATCCTCCACAAAGTCATCCCTTCCCTTAGGCAGATAGCCGTTGTGTGCTTAGCCGTATTCAGATAACCTAACTATTGAATATTGAGTAGCATGACGTATTAGCAGTTGATCTGCAGTCTGCCTGGGACAAAATAATCTGTTATTCTTCTGTTATATGGGAAAGTATGTTTATAAACTTAAGATTTTAGTCACTTTGTTATTCATATAAAATTTCAGCATAAATGAAGATCTTCTTTTTTATTCTTCCTTCTTTTCCCGCAAAAGGCGGCGAAACTTTCACCATCCCTAATCTGGAGTATTATTACATCAGCTGAATGCCGAGTTTTTCTTTGGCTTTTCTGGTAGTATATTAATAGCTGTGCGACGAGGCTGCTACAGGAGCGGACAATAAGTTCTCGACTTTGATTCAGGAGGTGTCTGTTCATGGACATGTTAAATGAATAGGTTTAAAAACATATATTCGCGAATCGCTTTTGCGGATGCCAAACTCGGTCGCTGGGAGGAACACAAAGCGAGAATTGTGGACCTTCCGTTCTGGCGGCTTCTTTCAAAAAGCCGAGCGTATTTATGAGATTCCCCCACCCACCCATGGATGTTTTTAACAAAAGCTTTGTGCTCGGAAGAGGTCGGAGAAAATGGCCAGCCTAATGGAGCATATCCAGTGGAAGAAAGCGAACTGGGCCATTAGGCCGTGGAAGAAGTTTCAGAATTTTCATTCTTAATTTTTTTTTATTCCTGTTATTTTCTGGATATAATTTTAGATTTTTTTTTTTATTATTATTTTGTAGAAATGGATTTAAAGCTAAAAGCTTCACCCCTCCCAAAAAAGTGTTGTTTATTCTCAACTTTCTACAATTTTCTTAAAATTTTGCTGGCATTATTATTACTCTTCTAAAACTGTGTTGGCATCAAGCCGAAAAAATTTTAATGCAGTGTGTATGTAGTCTTTTGAGTTATGCATTAAAATTACTTCAAAGTAATTAGAAAATTTAATTAAATAATCACAATCAAGATTTTTCCAATTAAAATCTTAGTTCGAAAACTAATGAGGAAATGAAATAAGTCACAAAATGTATAAATCAAAATTCTATTAACTTTAATTTGCGATACTCCTTTTAATTTGGGTATTTCTTCATTCTATCCTAAAAATAATAACTGCATAACGAATTCCTCTGAATTGTGTCCTTTCCTAATTAATCCATATCATACGATATTTGCGTAACGCTTCGATAATGATTTCAAATTAGGAAACAAAACATAAATTAACCAATAAGAATGAAGTTTAATTGAAACTGTATCATTCTGAGCCAAACATTTACCTTGGATCGCATTTTCTTTTATTGCTTTTCTGCTGCTAACTTGTTAACGCCTACTGCTCCGTCTTCAAATACTTTTCAAGAATCTAAATATGATCTCACTGTAGTTTTTCAGGAATAGGCGGGTCCCCCCCCCGAAAAGTTATTTGAGGCTGCATAATATCAACAGTAATAACGTAATATCAATCGAGCGGGTAGGACAGTGAACGTTGATTCCTATTGGAACACTGCGAATGAAAACATCTCGATGCATAATCTGCGCAAAATGAGGAGAGGGGGAACTAGTTTAGAGCTTTGATTTGTAGCGTATCCATTCAAGGACGCACAACAAGGCTTGTCCATTAGTTACTCCCGATTCTAGGCAGATGATGTTAGGCTCAACGCACCACACAGGGCGTGGAGCTTAAGAGTCGAAGGACTGGCCGACGTGGTAGCCTACTCGGAGGGCCGAAGCCACCACCTTCCAGAATAATATTGACTGCCCCTTCCGGCATCAGGAACCGGGCCCGTGTATCTTATACCCCCTGGCCGATACTGCCTAGGTACATATTCTAGCCAGTAGCTTCACAGTTTATCCTGTGTGGACCATCGTGGGCCGGGGATTAAAACGAGGACGAAATTGTTTATTAAAATGCCGAAGTAAAAAAAACGAAGCCGCAAAAATAAAAGAACATTTTACTGATTGCTTTGCTTTTGCGACGATTTTTTTAATGATATTTCGAAACTGCAGAATTCGTTGCCATTTTAATATTGTCTTCTCGATATCTTATAATGATGTGTATTCTTACGCCTTCGTTTCCTTCTGAATTATTTTCGACGAGCAGACAAAGTACTTGATCTTGACTTTATACATTTTTCATTATTTTTCCAGCAAATTTAGTACGAGCCAGTTTCTTTTAGAAAGTTCTGTTCGAAATTACGCATTTCAAAGCAAATACACCTAAGACGTGTGCATTTCCTTCCTTTCTATGCAGCTCCTTTAGGCTGTATAATTATCTCATTTATAGAGTTATTGTAATTTTTACAGGATCTTCATTAAAATAATCAATCCAAGCTTCAAATTTAATTTACATTCTTGAATTAATATATGTTTGCGAATTTTATAACTGTTTGCAGAGACGTATGCTTTGTTGGTGGTGTGACACTTCTACTCAAGACATGAAACTGAGGTAACCTAGGAAAGGCTGTCGTGCGGAAGTGCCATTAAATTACACAAACCAGAATTACCTGTCCATTAATAAATATCGTATACCCCGCTTATTCTTCCCCTTAGCATTTTAGTTCCATCTTCTGAAAATTTTAAAAATAATCGTGTAAATTCGCCCCTTCCCTAGTGCGTTAAGAGAGAGAGCTTCCCTAAATTTTAAAATAGATTCGTCCGCGTATTGATTATCTTCATCTTACTAACAAAGCCTCGCAAACTACCTGTGCCTGTCAGGCCGAACCTTTCCCTTCTAACTGCTGAAGTTTATGCCAGCCCGTCGGAGTAAAGCAAACAAGAACTGACATTCAGTCTACGATTTCGCGTTACTATGTATTTTTAATAGTATGTAGGTTTCTTTGAAAGAAACAATCTTGTGATAGTTATTTGTAGTTTTTACATAACTACATTATATTTATGTTCTTACCGTAATCGCGTCCTTTGGAATCGGACGATAAAATTAGTAAAAAAAAAAAAAAAAAAAAAAAAAAAAAAGAGGGAGGGAGAATTACGGTATTTTTGTGCGACGTGCCACTAAACTATGTTTCTTGTAGTGTAATGTAACCTAAAGACGAGGGAACTATTTCTGCGTAATATTAAGTGGTCGGACTCTTTATTTAATAGCTATTAGCCTTGTTCCCCTATAAGGGCCGGAAATGAAAGCCATTTCATTATGGAAGCACCTAATAGGTGGTCACCGTAAGGATCACTAACCACGGACTGGGCGGCTTTTTATGCGTAATGCCCACCAGCGGCCGAGCGGTAAAGACGCTGGACACTGGTAGTTCGGTCCGAGGTCGAATCAGCGAACGGGTGGCCTGCAGGGCGGGTCGAGGTTTTCCCCATGTTGTAAAGTGTAAAGCCGTTTCCTTAGAAAGTCCTCCACGAAAGGCATCCCTCCCCTTAGGCAGATAGCCCTAGTGTGCTTTGCCATAATTAAATACACACACACATTTTTATGCGTAACTGGTGATACAGAACTGAGCAACTTCGATGATTTTTCTCTTGTGAATTTACATGTATTATAGTAACATTTGGCATGTTTGCATTAAATATGTTCTGTAGTTACGTGTCTTCTGGAATTTTAATTTCTTTTTTCCTTTTCTTTTCAGATTAACAGGGTGCGACTATTGTGAGGTGATGTGTTGACCGTCTTCTCTTTCTGCCTTCTTCAATGTGTCTCTCTAAATCTCTCGTCGTTGTAACGTTCCGCCGCGATGACTTCATCCCACCAGGGGACTATTTTACTCCGCTTGGAAGAAATGAAAAGGAAAAAAAAAAAAAAAAAAAATCCAAAGCCAACTCTTATGTATTAAGTGTGCGCGCGCGCCTGTGTGTGTCTGTTATTAAAAAAAAAGGGTTGCCGCCGCCTCGTCTCGTTTGAACTTTTGACTTTATTTTTTTATATTATTTTGCCTGAGCAAACTGGTCAGCTAATCGGTGGATAAATTTAAGCAAAAGTATGTATATATAAATTGGCTTTATTTTCTATGTTTCAAAAATGAAATTGATGCTGTAATGACACTGTTTATGACTAAACATATAACTATGAGTGACTTGCATTTTCCACCAAACGGTAACGATTTCGTACCTGGGAACAAGATATATATTTAACTGAATGGTATTTGTCAGCTTTAGAAATTGAATTATGAGTTTATAACTGATTGCTGCTGAGATATTAATTTGCAAAATGTGTATACATATATGAATGTAATAAATCTGATATTGAACTAGTGTGCTCTGCTGCAACTTCTGTTGAATTGAATTTAAAAGAAAAGTTTTCATTTTGAAAGTAATATTTTGCGTTTGGTAACATGTGATATTTTTGCTTCCTGAATGATATTTATCCTTTGTTGGTGTTAAGGCTAGAGTTTAACGCTTTCGCTTTCATTTGCTTTTTAAGTATTAAAAGTATGTTTAAAATAACTATTATTATTGTGAAGGAAGAGTATGACACTTGTTACGTGTATTTTTTTCCTGTCTAGTTTTAATAGTTTGTTATTTTTTACAGCTACTTTAAAAATTTTGAGTTGATGATGAATATTACTGTAATAATAGTAATATTTTAGTACCTTTCTTTTAATCTTTTAATGCAGAATTAAACATTTTATAGGATTTTGAGTTATTAAAAGTATTTTATGTTCTCTATTCAAAAACCATTTGTTATAACTTACAGTTTGGTACCATCAGAATTATTTTTAATAACTAATAATGCTGAAATCTGATATAAAGAATATTTGAAACAATTTGGTAACCCTTCCCATTCGAAAGTGAAATCTTGAGCAAGTTAGAGCAGTATCGTAATTTGCATGCATTGCACTTTCCTTTTATGCTGCATTACTATGCTAGAGATTAGTTTTTGATTATTTTTAGGTTAATATATTTAAACGCAAGTCGACCGAAGTTTAAATACCTCAGTGATTCTTTATGTATTATTATGTGCCATTAAATAATTTCTCATAATGGCTTAAAATAGTCCTGGAATAAAAGTGTCATATTTAAGTTTTATTTTATAAAGCGTAATAATTCATTTAATTGACAATTATGCATTTTGTTGTTTGTCTTATATTATGCATTTTGTTGAATATTTTATTAATATGTCGTGATAACACTTGAATTACACGTTTAAAGGATCTTAAATTTCTTCGACAATGCATTCGATCCTCATCTTTTAATTTTGTTTATTTCTCGTTTAGACAGGTAAATTCTTATTATTTTTCACGCTAATCGATCTTAAAAATTATATAAAATGTTACCTTATTTAAAATATATTCTTTGATTTAATGTTTGTCCAAACATATCTAGAGTGTGACGAATACCATTCTCTGAAACCATCGAAGAGATTTCTACTTTATAAAAAAAGTCTATATTCTGCGTGAAGAAAAAAAAAACTTATTTATATATATTACGCAAGCGATATATTTTAGTTTTATTCAAGGAACCAAACTACACTGAAATTTAAAAAATAAAGGGTTTTGTGATATGTGTAACTATAAAACCAAGTGGTCTTAATTTCCTTGCCTTTTTTATTTTTGATAACGTTGAAAAAGTTATTTTTTTGCGTAGATACTCTTTGTAGTGCCTTCTAAGTTGAGATATTAATGGTTCATATGTATGAGCCTGTAAAACACTATTTTGTGATCATGGGTTTGTTTTTGTATTCATGGTTCACACCAGAGAACCCGAGTATTTCGACGGAAGCACACTGAACAGAAAAGATGTAAAGGACAGTTGGTTTACTTTTTAAAATTCCTTTTATCCATCTTGTATGGATGTGCCAGGTAGGAACACGGTAAAAATTGTTAATGGCAGGCGACCATAAATGAAACTAATTGGAATAATTCAAGGGAACGTTTTTTAGTATCTTTCTATTTACTATATGATATCAATTAGTGAGTTAAGGTATTCTTAAATAATTCCTTTTCTTGTAATTACTTTTTTCAAAGAAAATTATACTCTGATTTTTTTCAAAATTTGTTTACGGTCATATGTAGAAGGTTTCCAAATATCCGGATAAACAAATACCACATCCTATCTGGATATTAAAAATATCCGAATAATCCCTCCTTGTAGGTATAGTTTTACTTTTACGTAAGGATAACCCCTTCTTGTAGATATGAGTTTAATGGAAGACGAGGTAGTTTTATTCTTCTTTTACTTTGCAGTTATTTCTATAAAGATTCTACGGTTAAAAAATTTGATATCTATAAAACTAAAACATGAAACATATTTTTTCCCACGTATTTTTTCGCTCGTAATAGAGTTGTTATATTTTTTTTTTGTCTTAAAGCAAAATGCAATTAGAATAACATATAAAAAAAAAAGAAGGAAGAAATTATGTAGTCTCTAAAATTGATTTTAAAAATTATTTAATTTATATTAAACAAAAATATTATTATTTTGCTGAAATACTTGATTTTATTTGCTTAAAAAAGCATATAATTTATACGTATGAAAATTAAAATTTGATAACATATAAAGTAACATAAACGTACAAAATAACGCATAAAACGTTTAAACTTTCAACTAGTATAAAATTATTACTTTTAAGGCACTGAAAAATAAAAGTATAACTAAAACTACGTTAATAAATGAACGACAAAATTAATTTTACGTGGCCTAGAAACACAAATAAGCTAGCTGTTCGGATAAGGGATATTTACTGAAATTGGGAATAATAAATTCTTCTACGGTGTACAGTCATACTAAGTATTTGCATTGTTGTTGATTTTTAATCCATTAAGGTAAAGTAATTGAGGAATGCCTTTTAGGAGGAAAGGATGCTTTCGTGGAGAGCTTTTTAAGGAAAACCAACTCGTATTCCCGTTACACCTGATGAAAAAAATCAGTCGGCTAATATAAATCAGAACATGGTTTATGACGGTAGTAAAAATATATACTTGGAAAAGTTTCTGTATGTAACGAATGCTATTTATTATAGATGTCCATTTAGGAACTGTCCAGTCAGTAGTGACGTCAGAAATTATTCAGGTATCCACATTTTGCTTAGCTATTGCCCAGGTTCCAATATGTTAACTTATTGTCAAAACCCTGTTTTATTTCTTTCTTAAATTCTTTTTAAGTTATATTTTGGTGTTGAATGCTGTCAGTGTGTGCCCGTCTTTATGAGTTCGACTCAGGGTAACGAGTTTCTTTCTAAAGGTATTAAAAACTTTAGCGTGTGGTAGAGTTAACTGCTACAGATATCGAAATGATGAACTAATTACAGAGCATGTTTTCTATTATTTCACATGATTAATTCGCTTGCGAAATCTATTCTTACTACTCATATGCATGTTGCGAAATTTTTCTCCGAGCTTTGCTTTCAATAAGTATTTAATCATCGACAAAATTAAGATTATGAAAACTATACTTTGTATAATTACAAGTTACAGAGGTGTATAGAAAAACTGTATATTTTTTGAAAAATTGTATATAGTTTTACATGATGTGTATCTGGTGTTTCATAACATTGCACTTAACTGTAATTCTACTCGCCGACACGACACTGTAACTTTCAACATTAACAACGCGTATTTTGGTATGACTATTCCTTTATGTGCTTTAAGACTTCAAAGAACTTAAAAATGTCAAGTACCTCGTTATCACCGTAGATTATTACCCAGTGAGTCAGTCCTCTTCCCTGAGTAAAAAAAAGTTTAGTGAATTTATTTTTCATACATGTTAACAAATGTGAGACCATGTTCCATTTCTATCTTTTCAAAGTGGTATGTGTTATTGCTTCATTGCATTAAATAGCGTTCTAATATTGTAAGTGTTCTTGGGAATTGCAGAGGTAACTGTTTAGTGTAATTTAACTATTTTAAAACCTTTTTGTATTGCTTTTGTATATACATGTATGTACTTCGTGAAGGAGTTCTTTAGAAGCTAAATAGTAGAAAATATTGCAGAAATGTAAAATTTTTTATCTTTATATATGTTGAAAATGGAAATCGTGTAGATTATTAAACATGTAGATGGTCATTTTGGAAACCAAAATTTTGCAAACGAATTCAACTCTTTTTCTTCTCCGAGTTTTCGTTAATATTTTATTGCTATAATATTTTACTATTTTTTAAAAAATGTGAAATGTATGTTTGTTTATTAAAATATAAATTAATTGCTTATATGAAATGTATTTAAATTTGATGAGTTGATTTTTACGTATGCTTTAACATATATGTTAAAAAAAATTTTATATTGTTCAATCAATCTTTTTGCTAATATGAACTATTAGATGGTAGACTTGTTTCAGATTTCTATGAAGCCTGTGATTTTGTTTGAGAAAATTTTTTGGACATGTGTTGTGTGTTATTACGTTTAGACTGCCATCTTTAAATATCAGTGTTATAGATGTAATAAAATAAAATGTAACGGCTCTGCTTTACAGTCCCGTTGTAGCCGTTAAGGTAATACCGCATTAGCTGACCAAACATGGCGGTTGTCGACCCGGCGTGTGATTGTGTCATTTTCCCGTGTGTTTGTGAGCGTGAGGACAACATAATTTTTTTTTAATCCGTCTCGTCCAAGTCAACCACTGATTGGTCAACACACAAGAACTTTGATCAATATAAAGCCGCTAAGATGCACAAGTGATCAGTTTTATTCAGCCTACATGGAAAAAAAAACAGAAAACGATGATTAAAAAAATGCGAATAAATTTTGTGGAACGACGGAAAAATTCTTTTTCATTGCTAAGTATGCGACAGATGTGTTGTTATATATATATTATATATAAATATATATATACATGTCCGTTCTGGGTCAGTTTATTGTCACCTGTAGCACTTAGCAATATTAAACACCTTCAGTAGTAAAAAAATGCGTTGTGTATTTATTTCACATATTTCATTGATATAAACAACGTAATTATAATTTCTACAGTCTCGAGTTTTACTATATAATGTTAAGTAGATTTGTACGAAACTTAAATTTTCATGAATTCAGATAAACTCTGGAATATACTGGTACCTTGCGTATATCATGATATACGTCCGCTTTGAAATGAATCCAGCTGCTTGGATAAGAAAATTTTTGCTTCGAAGACGATTCAAGTTCAATGAGTCCATTACCTTTGTTTGCCTCTTTCGAAACAATGGTACGACTGCACATGAGGGTCACTACAACTATTCAATAAATAAATCATTGTAAAATTCTGAATTTTCCCGTGATTTTGCATTTTTTCGTGTAATTTTATTGTAAATGTATTAATAATGAGTTTTAAAAAAATTAGTGAGAAAAATCAAGCAACAAAGAAAATAGTTAGGATCGCTACGGATATTAAAAAGATGAAAAATATGAAGACAGTATTTGTATTCAAGATTTAATTGGCTGTTGTACAGCGTATGCCGAGAAGCGTGATCTATGTTGTGAAAACAAGGATGCTATTAAATCGACTAAAGTTACGAAGGGAATCGTATCCATTATTACCAAACAAAAGTCAGAGATATTAGGCATGTTGTGAAATTACTTTTGATCTAGATAACAGAAAAAAACATTTATGTACACTATTTCATTTATGCACACTGTTATGTACGATATTTCATTTATATGCCACTATACGTTTCACACACTGCATATTTTTATTTTGATATTGAGCAGTGTTGTTATAATAACAGTAGGATTCTTTTTATAAGAACGGTTTAATTATTTTCTCTTTATCTCTTATCGGGAAAGTTCGCCAATTTGCCACCTGGAAGAGATTAATGACGTGTATCGAAGTATCACTCTATTTCATAAAAGAATAATAATGGGGAGGAGAAGGAGATTTTTTAATTAATATTGGTGTTTAATAAAGCAACATTTCAAATCTGCGTTTAATGGTAAAAAACTTTTTTAAATACATTTGCGTTTATATTTAGAAAATACAAATGAAAATTTAGTTAGATGAACTAGTACATAATTAAAATTCTTAAATTTTAGGATTCATTTTCTCAATATAACTCCATAAAAGAAAATTTAAGTAACTTTTTTAGTATATTGTGTATGAATTAGTAATACATGCAATGCATACAGAACCGATGATAGCTTGATAAAATCTACTTTTCCAAAAGAAGTTTACTGTTCTGGAACTTTTCACCCAAAAGTATTCGTACAACTCTTCTCACTACGACAAAGCACAATCAATCGTTAACACTTCAAACTACTTTAAGAACTTTGAACACATGGCAATATAAAAAGCCTCAAATGCGTAAGCTCACATAATGATCTCTCTATAGTCTAAACTCAACTGGAAACTGATGCTCTCTCTGATCTTGCATAGTTTTCCGTAGGCTGCCAAAAAATTTCCAGTACCTTCGCTTTCTCGGAAATTGATAGAAGGCATACACAGTTACATACGGACTGGTGGTCGACTTTTGGTGTTAAAAATTAGTCCCCAAAACTATTGCTAGCTTGGCGCTATTTCACCAGTTTGTCGAGATAACCCTTTACCTCAGTGTTAAATAGACCTATCCTTGTAACCGTATTTTTCCGGCGATGCTTTCCATCCTTAGGCGTTTATGTTACATTATACAAGAGATGGTATAATTGTAATTTCTGTAAAATGTTTTACATACATACAAAGTTCATAACATTCTTCCAGAATCTTCTTAAATCAAATCAACTATAGAGCTGATGCGTTTAGAGTCGAACCTGGTTAACTAGATATACAATCAGTCTCGCTTGAAAATCCTAGACATTTTTTAACCCTTGACGTCTAGTAATCCAGATCTAACGAAATTTAAAAAAAAAAAAAAGAATGCAGCAATGGTACTTTGTTTATTATTATATTTTTTCTCTTTCTTTTACGAAAGCCAAGGCCGGCACCAAAGGCGATGTGGCTGCACTGGGCACGAAATTCGGGGACGACAGAATTTTTAAAATTTTTAGAATTTATGGAGATGACGGAGAATGAATATTTTAACTCGTAGCAGAGATTACGCCAGGTGGCAAAATTCCTATCGCCGGACCTGATGAAAGCTTATGTTGGACGCCAGGGAAAAAAAAAAAAAAAAAAAAAAAAAAGTTATCCCCCAACTTATGTGATAAAATAGTTAATAACATTTCAGGCTGTAATTTAAAATACTAAAAAATACAAAACGTTTGGAAAAGCATTTGTAGAATCCTTTATGTCTTGTTGCATTAATTAAAAGTACAAAGTAAAACCAAAAAAAGAAATACATAAATTTGCACGGAAACTGAAAAATAAAGGTTTAATTTAGAGTAATACGTTCCCGTTGACGGTTATGTATGTTCCCGCCGCACTCTTTCAAGATAGCTACGTAAGTCAACATGTATTGGAGAAAGGTGAGGAGGAGGGAAGATGAAGAAGACACACAGAACAAGAATAAATATTACATGGAAGCAAACTGATGAGGAATTGCAGAATTTCAGAACATTTCCCGAAAAATGTTCCTCTACGCCCGTACATGATGGTATGAAGCTTCACTTTAAACTCGGAGAATGTTTAAAACTGTGGCGACTATCTTGTAAGCAGACAGAATTTCAAAATTATATGACATCATACTAAGAAATTTGTAATTTTTCTTGCGATAATGAAGATGGTAATTTTAAAATGTTTTTAAATTTTGTTTTTCTGAAATATAAAGCGTTTTAATTTTAAATAATATGTACAATTTTCAAAATTCTATATTTGATTTTGACGGATACTCAAAAACACTACTGATGGATTTCATATGCTGCAGTTTCCTAATGGCATCACAAAAACCTCAGTAAGTAAGTCTTAGATATGTACATTAAATTATCCGAGGAAACCTCTTATCCGGAATTGGCGTGGTCCGGATGCAGACTTTTAAAAGGGATCCTGTGGAATCCCTTTTAACTAGTGTACTATATATATATACTGTTGTGTTCTACGGCTCCGTGGATTTGGAGTGATTGATGGCAACACTTGATGAAGAAACAAAATACAATTTATTAGCCAGTATTATTCAGTACAGTTCAAAAGCCGCGTCAGAATCTTCGGAAAACTACGATAAACACGGTGAAACAATCAACTTTGATACTTGTCAGTTAGGCTGGCCGCACAGCACAGCCTTTAGGATATAACGGTGAAGACAGCTTCACGGCAAAGCACTAAACTACAGCTCCCGACTCGGTCGTTCGCTCTTGGGGTTCAAGACACTACTTCTAAACTCAACGTACTCTAGATACTCTCCATGATAAAACTCACGATGCTCTGCTACTCCGCGTGCAGGCAGGGTTTATATAGCTCTTGACCTGCCTTCGAGAACATTCTGGGGCAAAATGGTAAGAATTCGTTCCAGAATGTTCTCGCTCCGTCTATGGCATATCGCCAGATGGGCGATTTCGCGCCATATCTGCAACTCTGCTCTTCCTAGCCATTTTCTAGCAACCCGCTTTGCAGGGAAGCTTTTCTACCACGGCTGGGCATTTCGTAACAATACGTTTCTAAGTACATAACAGTAGAATTCCTTTTATCAATCTATCTAATTGTATAACATCATGAACAAAAGTATCAGTATTAATACATGTATTTATGATAATAGTAAAGACTAAGACAAGAAAAAGGAACCTTTACTGCACATAAAAAAAAATGATGATGACAAAATCATCCATTGAGAGAGCGGGATACAATAAAATTCTTGTATGAGCTGTGTTTGTTTTATTCACTGAAAAATGCTAACTTCGAAAGTTTACGTTATCATAGTATGAGGGCTTTGAGAATTGTTAAGCTATTTAAGTTTATTTTCAAAAGCGAAAGTTAACTAACAAATAATAATTATTCATTTTATAACGTCTTGTATGCTTGGCTGTCCGAGGTAAATTATGACCAATTTCCTCAAAGCAACAGTTGGCGCCAACTCGTAAAAGTTAATTGAAAATTTAAGAATAATGCAGTTAAGTATTGCTCTAACGGCTTCACAGGCTAACTACAGCTGGCTCTGATTCGAACGTTGGCGTAAACAAACCTAATGGCAAGAACAGCTTAACGCCACAGAATTCTAATCGCTAGGTAATCAAAGTTAGCAACATGGCCTTCAAACAGGCAGAACACACTCTAATTTCACCTTCCCAAACTTTCCCTTATAGTAATACTAATTTCATTTGAATACAAGCGCGCCAGTCTATTTGCATTTTGACAAGAAAGTGTGAGTTGAAAGGAAGAGCGATCGCAAAGCTGCTTAAACATAAAATAACTGGTAAGTAAATTAAATAAATCCTCACAATTTATAAAAATGTGTAACTAATAAAATCATTCCCTTTAAAAAAATAGTTGCTATTTCATTACAGATAATTCTGAACAAAGTATTTAAAAGGAAAAGAAGATATGGTATTTAAAACTGTAGTTAATTAGGTCTTTCAAACTACAGATGGATGTTCACACGATTTTAGAAAGATTTCGATAAAGAATTCTAAAAAAGAGAAGATTTGGAAAAACATTTACTGGAAACAGCCTGTTATATGTAATGAGAAATATCGTCTGCTACTTTTAAATTGTTCTTTCAAAATGTCGCGTGTAAACAAGGCGGGGATTCAAGCATATTTTTTTCGCTTTCCAAAAGAGAAATATTCTTATTTCGTAATTATAAAGCACTGCTCAATATTTGTTATTAAAATTTCTTGAGTGCGAAATGAGCAACATTATTAATCGGAAATGGAAAAAAACCTTTCCGATTTCATAGAAAGAACACTCCAAACGAAAACCCGAAAAAGGTAGCTACTGTTTCTAATGCTTCTAAAGTTAAGTCATAGGTAACAAGAAAAAATCCGCCGACGCAGAAATCAATTAGTCTTTAAATACATCTGTAGTAACAATAAATAAAATAATAAACCAAGATTTGCAACTAAAAAAAACGT